AAAATTTCAGCTTCCCAGCTTTGCTAGTTCCCGAGTTAGCCATTTTCCCGCCGAAAAATCTCACGAGGCCGTACGCGGGAACCGCGCACATCTGAAGGGTGAATTTGAAACCTTTAGTTATATTTGGACGGGGAACATAACTTCAAAATTTCATCTTTCTATTTTTTCTCGTTCCCGAGTTATCAGTTCTCCCGCCAGAACTTTCACCCCCTCGTACGCGGGGTCTAGACGTGCTTGAGGGCTGGTACCGCGGTTCTGGAGTGGCACTTGGCCGGGGAACCTACTAGCAAAGTCTTGGAACTGGAACTTGCTTGGTTGCCGAGTTGAAATACTCGGACAGACGAACACATACACAAACATACATACACTTACACACAGACAGGGTAGTTGCAATATGCGTTTTTGCAATTTGCATGTAGGCAAAAATGCATAAAAATACGGAACATAGACCAAATTTAAATATTCGCATGCAAATGGATACTGAGTATTTGGATAATACAGAATGAAATTGAAATTAAGTTTATTTCGCCCACTGCAACTCTGGAAGTTAAAGCAGCAATACTACCTATACTATTGTTGAATTGTCTTCATCAATGTTACAATTACAGCCAAAAATTTTATTAAAAAACTTGAAATTAAAGACGAGGCAAAATTCGTATACCATTGTCATCACTGAATAGGCGAGCAATTGCGCCAAAATTTGCTTCGCCATCTGTGGAATTAACTCTCACAGCGTCTCGAAGTTTTAAGAGATCACCAGTTTTGGAATGCCTCGCTTGCTTATAACAAATTCGTTTCAGCGGTGCAATATCATTCTGAAAAATTGGTAAAAAGACTTTTAAAATACTTTTACCAACTAAGCCATCGTCCACATGAGCCAAATTTGCAAGATCCCAGTTCATTTAGACGAAATCTAAACAGCTCGCTTGGGCAAATGCAAGTCACAAAGATTGTTACAGATGAGGAAGTCTCTTCCCTTTCTTACTACCGAAAACAATACACCGGAAATTTTATGTGGAATTTTGTGTAAATTTAACCAAATTTATTTGTTCTTAGCTTCATCTAACCAAAATCGTCATAAACAGGCAAGTCATTTATTGATGACGTTTTTTTTTTTTTTTTTTTATTGGGCTATTTTTCTGCAGTTTCAGGGAAAACGGCAAAAAAAAA